CTACTACTTTGGACTCTCCTTGACCCCATTGATCCAGGTCACAGAAGTATCTCCTACTGTAGCCCCAGCCTGTATAGGAAAGAAACCACCAAACTTCTCAATGATGTTGGCATTCTTCTCACTGGCACATCTCTTCCCACCTTAGTACAAGAGGTGTTCACTAAAATTATCCCAGAAGATCCAACATAATCAGCTGCTGGATTTTTGAAATTATTAAGTGCAGGCATTGGCAAAATTTCTCTGAAAAGGGCCAGATAGGAAATCCTTTAGTTTTGTGGGCTGTATGGTCTTTATTGCAACAATTCAACTCTACAGAGAAAGCTCTTTGCATAATATGTAAGTGAATGAATATGGCTCCATTCCAATAAACCCTGATTTATAAACACTAAAATTTCTATTTCATGTCATTTTCATGTGTCATGAAATATTACACTTCTTTTACTTTTTTTTCTAACCACTTAAAAATGGAAAAAATGATTTTTAGTTTGTGGGCTGTATAAAAAGCAGTAGTGGACTAGATTTGACAAATATTCCCTCTTTTCTGAAGCTCTGTTAACATCTGAAAGTCATGCATCAGACTTGCCTGCTGGGGCCTTGGCAGGCTGTGTCCCAATACTGGCAAATTTTCTTTCCTCTAATCTTATGTTCCATCCACCCATAGCTGATCATCCAGGACCTTCAGGATTTGTTCTCAGACATAATCTCCTAGTTCTTTATGATCCAAGTTAGTTGGGTCCTTTTGTGTACAAGCTTCCCCTTTCTTTAGCTGATCTCCATTACTGTAGGTTGTTGTTTTCCCCCAAATTAAGGGTTTCTTAGCCAGTAGAGGAGGTGGAGGTAGGTCCTACCAGGGCTTATCTTTATTGTCAAGGAAATGTGGGCCACTTCTGCAGCTCCCAGTGGCACAAGAGAATCAGTTGGTTCAAGATTTGTGAAGGCATCTGCCCAGAGCTCCTCCTCACGGGTCTCTGAAGTGCCTCCTTTCTATCTAGACCCTGATTTTGGCTTGGGAGAGTTTCCCAGGCTATGAATCTAGTCTTTTTGGAATTCTGCCACATTTACAATTAGCCCCTGTGCCTGGTCTTTCTCTGCTGGAGACGAGAGTCACTTCACATGCTGCCAAGAAGGAGCTGTGACTTTTATACTTGGCTTTAGGGTGGTAATAGAGCTGAGCCTGTCATTTTCTCTGGTGTATCAGTGGAATTTGGCAAAAGCCACTCAATTGCAGAGTTCTCATAATTTCTACTTACCTCGTACTTCTCAAATGCCAGAGAGGTTGCACCAGTTTATAATCTCCTTCCCTTTGTGCTTCATCCTGTTTCACCTCCTAGTCATGGGGTCACTAAAGCCATCTGAAGATGAGTGACCCCTTCCCTAGTCCGGTCCTTGCAGGCTGCCTTGAGCATGTTTCTCAGCTGGTTTGGATCAGGACCTCAGAAACAGGGACTGACATATGAATTCTGATGCGAGTGATTTACTGGGATGGGCTCTGAGAAGAAGGGTGGTGACGTAAACAGGATAGTGGGGCTCAGGGAAGAAAGCTCAGCATGAATGAGATTTCTGCTGGGGACTTGACTAAAGCAAGAATTATACACAGAGCTGATCACACCTTGATCCAGGGAGCTAGCCTTTTGGAAATCCACCTAAATCAGTCATTGACTGCTAGCTGCTCACCTGGGAGAACCCGAGAGCAGTTTACCTGAGAAGGGGCAGCTGTGAGCTCACAACCTGTGCTCCCAGACTTGGCAACTTGTAAGACAGAGGGACAGGAACAGGACACCAACAGCATTCCCTACAGTCCCCAAACAGCCAGTCGATGTCACAGTTTAGGAGCATGGTCTTTGGAATGAGACAGGGCTAGGTTTGGGTCCTGACTCTATTACTAGTATTACCTAACTTTGCTGAGCCTTAGTTTCTTCCTCTGTAAAATGGGGGCAGTTATGATACTGCCCTCATATGATTGTGGGTGAAGTAAAGCAATTCCTATAAGGCACTTGGCTTTTTTCTCTGGCGTGTATTAGTAGTCATTACTTATTAGGTCGTTATATTTATTACAATGGTGCTCAACAAATGTTATGTTACATGAATTTATTATTAATAAATGTTGCTTGCTAAGCAGATGTTGGGAAAGTGTTCACAGGGGATCCTCCATGAGGGAAAAGAAAGATATGTATGTTTGGGGACAATGACTTTTACCAACCCCACTGTCTACTGTCCTCATATTCTACTAGAGAGAAGTGCTGTTCTGGGAGGACTCAATTGCAACTCTGAGCTCCCTTTGGTCCTTGAGGACAATATCAGTTCATTAATCCTATTTTTTTACACTGATTGTAATTGTAGAGTTCTCCATGCTGGGCAGAATGAAAATAGAACAGCCAAGGGACCCATCTCAGTCATATTTGCCTCTCCGAGTATTTGAGAGCTCAGAATAGTCTTAAGATTAAGAGGCAAGGGTAGCTTGTCTTATCAAGAATGGGAACAAGAACACACAAGCACAAAAGGTCATAATTGGCTCTTCAAGAAGGAATGGGGTATTCATGTTTTAAAAATGGATTGGTATGCCAGGGCATGGAGTAGTTTTTTAAGCACAGTACCGGCATGAACCATGCTGACCACTCCCTTTCTTTACACTTACGTGTTTAGCCACTTCTACTGAAGAGGAAGGAATGAAACAGTATGGGGGAAGAGACTTCTGACTTGTATATGAAACTACGGTCTCTCTCTAGGTCCAACTTCTGAAGGCCTGAAGCCATGCGCCATCCCAAATTGTGCACATCTTTATGTGCCCCTGCACCTTCTCTCTTGGCCCCCCTGCTTATATTGGTGACTTCTAGGCTTGACACTAGTCAATGCTGGTGCTGCTGTTCCCTGTCTTGGAAGCAGGGGGTGTGGCAGAGGGAGATTCAGTGTGCGTTTGCTGCTGTTATTTTCCAAGCTCATGGCTCTTTGTGATTCGCATTCAGACCCCTGGGGGGCATCACTTTTGCACTGAGATGTCAGGAAGTATTTCTTTTGCCATCCCACTGTGCCTGCTGCTTTTTGAGTTCCTTGAGTTAGCACAACACTCACCTGTGGTGATCTCACGTGGATGTGGTGTCTCACTTCACATTCTTGATTTTGCTAAACAGATTTCCCTTCTCTGTCCTATCGTCACCGTGAGTGCAACTACGGTTGGTTGGCCACGAGACTGTATTCTGATTTGGAAAACTGGGCTCTTTTAGGTATAGGGCTGAAGAAAAAAAAGTGTGTGTGTGTCCACATGTATGCTTATACATGCATACCTGGACATGCATCTGCATTTCAGTCCTAAGACATATATTAATATCTGTTATCAACTCTGAGTTTAAAAAGAATATAGCAAAGACCTTGCTGTTAGGGAGCTTCCATTTTGGAACCTGGTGAAGACAGAGGGGTAACCAAATAAGTTCCAGACAGTACTGAATGTTACAATAGAGAACACCCAGCACCATATTATATCAAATGATGACGGCAGCTCTCTCTGTGGTATTAGAGAAGGCTTTGTGCTGTGGAGTCGAGTCTGGTAGACAACTTTTCAGGGAACTATAGGGAATGCACAATGGATAAAACATATACAAAATTTGAGGAGGCGAGAAAGAGGGCCTGTCTTTGAGAAGCTGCAAGAGAGAGGCAGTTTGGCTGAAGAGAGCTGCCTAGAATTGGACGAACCTGAGTCAGTGCCTATCAGCTCATCCAAAATCAAGCACTTCAGTGGGGTTGTTGCTGAGATCACAGGCAGAAGCTAGCCCAGTCTGGGCTCCAAGCAGATTCTCAATAAGTGGTCGCTCTCTAGCATCTAGGTCCCAGAAGTTGGCATGTATTGACTGTGAGGCGCAGCAGGAGATGCTGGAAAAGTGGGCATGACCAAGTCACAAAGGGTGTTTGGGGACAGCATAATATTCTGTGGGGAATGTGGTGAATTATGGATTTTCTTCCCAGGAGAATTACACTTTATGTAAAAGATTTAATACAATTTAAGGGCATTTTCAAACCCCCTGAAGTGCATCTGTACATTCCAGGTAAAGCACCCCACCACCCACTGCCGCCTTAGACAGTGGAGGACATTGAAGGATTTTAGGCAGAAGTATGGACTGATCTAATTTTCATTTTTGAAAGATCACTTTGTTGGTGGCCATGTGAAGTTGACCTAGAGGTAAGAGAAGAGTTAGAGTCAGATGACCGTGAAGGGCAGGTGAGAGAGAAGACATGGAAGTGGGGATGGGAGTAAAATTGAACTTGGGTTGTGTAGGTGATTGCAGTGTAGCTTTGGTGGCCTACAGGTTTCTGATCAGCTGGTGCCATAAACCAAAAGAGGTAGGAGCAGAAGCAGTTTGGGGGAAGAGAGAATGAATGTGTGGTTTCATTTGAGATAAGTTGAGTCTAAGCTGGCTGTGCCCAGTTAAGGGTGGACACCTGGATCTGGTGCTCAGGGCAGAACCTGGGCTCGTTTGTGTGGAAATTTGGGTTCTTCAGAGAACAGGTGGTGACTGCAGGTTTACATATAGATGAACAGGCTCCAGGACTGCTGGAAGTGAGAATCCAGGGAACACCTTGGTTTGGGTAACCTGTATGCAAAGAGAAAAAGAGGAGGCCTGGAGGAAGAGGAGGAATCAAAGGAGGAGGAGAAAGAAGCGGGTAGGGGAGGAGGAACATTTCTAAAAGGAAGGAATCACCAGCGTCAGATGCAGTAAAAAGTGAAAGAGCCGGCAGGCTGCCTCTCTGGGCTGAGGGGCTAGGAAGGAGAGGGGCACACTGCATTTGCTGCAAGTTGGTTTCAGTGGAGCAGTTAGCTCTGAAATCTAGCTGTAACAAGTCTGAGAAATTAAGGGCTAAGGAACTGGTGTTGCTAAGAACTTAAGTTTGCCTCTGTGTGTCTGTGTGTGTGAATAAGAATGGAAGAGAAATGATTACAACTGCCTGTGGTATTGGGGAGTACTTTTTGAATAACATCTAACATACCCATATATTCACTTTGTTTCTAGAAGACAACTCTCACAATCCATTCTGGGGAAAGTGGCCTCAGAAGAACACCAGCTGAGGTACAGGACTGGAGCTCTGGCATTCCCTCTTCCCCCGGAAGCTGCGTCCAGGTGGAAGCTGCTCCTGCTGGTCTCTGTGGAGAGGAGCGGGGCGCTGAGTGCGCTGAGCCGCCCGACTACTTTAATGTCCTGAGTTACAGAAGTCTGGGGAGCTTCAGCTTTCCAACAGAGCCTAGTTAGCATCTAGAGGCATCTTCTGGCGACACATTCCTTTCTTTCTATTGCAGTGGATGTGTAAGCCTCTGTACTCTCTGGCAGTGTGTGTGTGTGTGTGTGTGTGTGTGTGTGTGTGTGTGTGCCATTTGAGTGAGTGAACTGATCCTCGTCTCCATATTCACTTCTTCCATGTGTCCCTTCTCTTCTTTTATGGCAGACTTGAGGGGAAGTACCTTGATCATGACTACAAAATTAACACACACACACACACACACACACACACACACACACACACACCGACCTGACTTTGAATCAAGCCACCCTGTGGCTCTGAGAAACAAATGTCTCATGATAGCCCTGAACAGGGTTTTGGGCTATAGGGTTTTCTGGTGGATGACAAGGATGGTGTAACTACAAAGCCACCCTCCTCTCATTTCTCACTGTCATGGTCATTAATATTCACTCAGTCAGGGTGTTTAACAATGAGGCATAATTCAAAGACAATGAAACCTTGATTTCTGCCCTTAGGTAATATATGGGGGAGACACCATTTACTTCAAAAGGTGGTAAGGAGATAAGGACACCTGACATGGGCTTTTGGGAAGACATGTCTGAGGTGAAGTGGTCAGGATGTGCTAAGCTGTGGTGAATTCCACTGGTAGCACAAAGGGAACAATGAAGCTGGTCTAGTGGGAAGAGGAGTTTTTCTAGAGAACTTGTAGGAACTAAAGTTGGTGTAGGTCAAAGTTCCCCAATGAAGGCCCTAGCATCAAGGGAACCCACAAACTTCAGATTTCTTCCTCCTCTGGAAAGGCATTTCAAATCTCCTTTTGTTGTGATGTACTTAGAGTCTGTTTGTGGTGACTGATACAGATCCCCAGGTTCTTCCAGTCTTGTGAGCTGGGTTCACCCCCAGGAAACGCCTGTCATCCCAGAGGGCAGAGCCCCAGCGTGTGGGCCAAGATCTAGCTCTTCTGGATCAATCCACCATTGAACCAAAGAATATAGAATCTGTTTCCCACCAGAAGGAAAACCTAGATTCTTTAAGATACTCTTCTTAGGGGGAAAAAATTGTGTGTGTGTGTATGTGTGTGTGTATGAAAGAGAGAGCAAAGAGAGAGTTAAAAAAGTAAAAACCACTTCACTCTCTGACTTCTTTATACTGGTGATGGGTTCTTTTGGACTGCATTCAGGCTAGATCTAAAAAATCTTCATCTTTCCACCATTTGTCTTAGAGGAATGAGCAAGGAGGCTGGATTTCCCAGCGAATGATTTTCTTTCATGCACACAACTGAGAGAGAATGTGAAGTGAGTTTGTGTTTTGCCAATGACTAAAAGCACTGCCCCTGAGAATTACCAAGAGGATAATCCAATGCCCACTGCTCCTTAGATTTTTATTCATCTCACTTTTCTAACAAATGGGTATGCAGTTAGGTAGCAATCAGCTGAGACCTGTCCTGAGCACCAGCCCTCTGGAAGAAAGATACATGTAAAATGCTATCGTTAGCTGTGGCAGTTCATGGGATTTTTCTTGGAAAACTAGTGCAAATATGTTGGTAGTAGGATGCAATTCACAAATTGGAAATAAACTAAAATGTAATGTATTTGGAGGAAATGTACATTGGGTGTTACTTACCATAATTATGATAATAGGGAAACATTTACAAATACCACTTGAGTCTACGGTACAAAAGAGCCTATGGGTGTTGGAAATGGGTCAATTTGACAAAAAATAAATTTCAAAGTGGAGTTCACTGAACTAGATTCTCCTCTGAGAACCAGAAAACAGAGTCCCCTAGAAGCTAGACTTCTAGAGACACCGTGCTGCCCAGGACAATAGCCCCTTTCTACATGTAGCTGTCCCAACACTTGTGATGGGGTTAATCTAACTGTGCTGTGCTGTGAGTGTCAAAATACACACCAGATTTTGAAGATGATGTGAGTCATAAAATGCAAACTATCTCATTAGTAATTGAAAAATATTTTTTACGTATCAAAATGATAATGTTTCGGTTATATTGGGTTAATAAAATATATTGTTAAAATTAATTTCATGTTTCCTTTTGCTTTTAAAATGCACATATTTAAAAATCTAAAATTGTATATGATAATATTACTATATATCTGTATATATATAATTATAATTATATTTCTATTTTACTATGCAGCTCTAGACTCTAAACTCAAGCCAGGCTGGTCCCCAGGGTGTATGTCTATGTCTGTTGGTCTCTGTCTCTTTCTCCTGCATTTCAAAATAATGTTTGAAGGGCTTTTTTCATCTCTTATTATGCCTTTTAAGAAGTAAATAGAGAAGGATCACAGGGGAGAATGAGGGAGCAGATCGGGAAGTGCTGACAGGAAGAGATCCCAACCACTCTTGGATTCCCTGACAGGAGGAGGAAAGGATAAATGAATCAATGAATAAGAGTTCAGGAATGAATGCATTTATGGATTCCCTGCTCACATTCTGGGCTTATAGAGTCTGATCTATAATCCATAGAGTTATACTGAATAAGTGTGATAAATTTTAAGTTATGGAGCTTTGAGACAGATAGTCCTCCTGAGTGGACAGCACCTTAGCATGCAATTTTATTTCAGAACATATCCCTCCTCATCCCTTGAGCCCCAGAAATGAGTCGTCACATACTCATGTTCATACAGAGTCCATCAGTGCTGAGCTGGACAGGCAGGGATGCAGTGAGGCTGTGCACAAATGGTAGCATTCTGGTGGATTCACCACACTCCACAGAAAGCAGGGAATGCACAGCTTGGCCATGGCTGCCAGCTGTGGGATGTGAGTTTTGTTCAGTCTTGTGACTCTGCTTTATGGTTCTAACCAGCAATCCTCAACCCTACTCCAAAGCACAGCAGTCAAAAGGCCCAGGGGAACCTTACGTGTGACAAGAGCCTGAATGTTTTGGAAGTCAGAATACAGTTGGTGTTTGGGAGAACTTATTTGCCTAAGTTGGTGTGTTACAATGATACTGTCTGGTAGAACTTCCTGTGATGATGAAAATGTTCTCTGTCTGTGACGTTCAATATAGTAGGCACTTAGCCACATGAGGCTATGGAGCTCCTAATATTTGACAAATGTGACAAAGGTAATTCAGTCAGTTTAATTGACTGAAATTTAAATATAAATAATTACATTGGCTCGTGGGTAGTGTATGGGATATCACAGTTCTAGCAACTATCCTGCATATACAGAAAACACAGAGAATGTGTTTATAGATAATGGAAAATCTATAGATGTTAAGTTTTTTGATGGGGTCATCACTGGAAAGAAACAACAGACTCTCCTTCTATTTTTTCCCCCTTCTTCTGCTCAAGACAAAGCACACAGTTGATCATAGGCTGTTCATTGTTTTCAGCTCTTCCCATAGCTATTTGAGGTAGCAAAATTGTCCAGTTCACATAAACAGGGCCAGGGCTGTCCAGAAGTTTGCAACTCATCAGTATTACACAGGAAGATACTTTTATCACAGGACTTTCCCTGGATTGTATTCCATGTTGGTTGTGAAGGACACCTTTCACTGGGACTAAAACTAATGATTTTCACAGATATCAAAAGAAAAATAACCATGGTGGGCAGTGGACTAGAAATTAGGCCACTTGGTCTGGGTACTTTGTAATAAAGCTTCATGACTTTGGATGAATCAACCTCTTATAGGCTCATAACAAATATTTCCCTATTTGTAAAATGATTATAGTAATATCTACTTTATAAGGTTCTTAAAAGTATGAGGTAAGGATGTGATTGACTTCTTCAAATTTATTTTTTATTAGAATATATATTAATTTGTACAAAATATTATTAGGCTTTGCTATCACCAATCTGAAGTTTTCTTTCAGACTCATGAGAGCTCAGAGTGCAAGGGACTCTTGGCTATCTGCCATCTTGATCTTTCCTCAATAGGTTTTGGTGTGACATTTGCATGCATGTACATAATGCACTTTGATCATATCCATCTCCCACTGCCCTCTCTGGTGGGTTGGCTGCTTCTAAGCTATAAAATGCTAAGTTAACATTATTGTTGTATTATGCCCCAACAGCATGTACACCTGGCCCTGTTCATGAGGTCACAGAGGTTCCCCAGGGGGCAACAAAACTTGGGAGCAACCAAGGAATCTGGAATTATCAATGTTCTTAAAAATTGGGATTTAAAGGAATGCTAACAAGGTTCCTGTAAGCATACACAAATGTTGTGGTATACAAGATGATAACCTTTCAAAAAGTCAAACATACCTTGGATGTTTATGACCTCGTAACAGGGCACTGTCATTGTTTTTGATTTCCACATCCTTGATCATAATTCAGTTGATTTTAGTAGGAAAGTAGAGGAAGAATTGTCTTCACTGTGCATACTGTAGTGAAGGGATGCTGAAATCAGGACATGTCCCAAGTAGGCAGTACACTTTGCTTTGTGAGCCATGACAGAGTTAACAAAGCATCACTCGGTGCTTTAAATTAATGTTGTGTAAAAATAGTTAATTTTACAGATGTACTTGTGTTTAGTTTGTAACTTTTGTTTTATAGTTCTGTAAGAGTTATAAGCATGACAGGTTTACCTGATGTTATGTTTGAGCATACTTAAGAATGTTTATAATAAAATAACTTTGGATTATATTATTAATTTATTAGTAAACATAATAAAAATAACCACAGACTTCTTCCTCGTAAGGGGTATGTGGGAAGTACTTTTTTCCTTCAAAGGGGAGTTCGTATTACCTGTTTGAGAAATACTGCTATGTATATAAAAAGCACTGAATTTCAGAAAACCTAAATTTAAACACCAGTTTACTAATTGCTTTGTATTGGAGAACCTCGTATTTCTGAGTCTTTGTCTCCGTAAATTGGTGTAATAATAGCTCTCCCACACAGTGTTCACAGTGTAATTGTGAAGATGGATAGAATTATAAACTGTGACGTGCCATATAGGTAGTGTATGTGCTATTTACAATGACTATAACCCGTATATAAACCACATAACTATGTATTCAATGGGTAGCACAGAGTGTATGGATGGCACAAAAAGAGACAAAAACTCTGGGTGAAGTTGGTTGGCATCATTACGATGTTGCTAAGGTTCAC